CCCCCCCGCCTAATGAGTCTGTTCCTTCCCCTCCCCCGGTGCAGGAGCTGGAGCAAGCCACCCTTGAGAATCACGCCCGAGCCGAGACCCTGAGCTCCAACCTGCGTCTGGCCCAGGATGAAGCCCTGAGAGCCAAGACCTATGTGGAACGGGTCGCAGGAGCTGGAGCAAGCCACCCTTGAGAATCACGCCCGAGCCGAGACCCTGAGCTCCAACCTGCGTCTGGCCCAGGATGAAGCCCTGAGAGCCAAGACCTATGTGGAACGGGTCCGACTCAACCCCCAGTGAGTAACGGGGCCCCTGAAGGAGGGGGTATCCGCCCCCCCATGTTGGGGGCCACTCAGGCTGCTGCCTGCAGTGTTAACCTGCGGAACTCCCTGCCCATGGACTGTGGAGGCTCAAGGCCTTCCCCAGGACATGGAACAATAGGGGCAACCCTATCGCTCTTGCCTTTGTGTGTCAAACCCGCTACCTGGTAGCATCCTGGGGGCAACCCCTGGCTCCCGTGTCACACAAAGGGGTAACACACACATGCTCCACCCACATCACGGCCATGCTGGCCTGTTGTATCCTCCCTGGCAGCTGCAAGAGACTCAGGAGATGCTCCCTCCTGCATCATCGCTTGTCTCTGCCTCTTTTCCAATTCCAACAGCTTGTTTCGGAGCCGGGGGGAGGGCCGGGCACGTATAGGGCGGCAGGACGATATTGTCTGGCTTTTCCTCACTCCTGGGACCGCGGCTGCATGTTCAGAGAACAGTGCATGGGGCGACCCGGCAACGGCAAATTCATAGCCCAGCAGTTTGCAAGGCTCGTGAGCCTCACAAAGGCTCTCGGAGAACCCAAGCATGACCCCTCTCCTTCTGCCCCCGCAGGGAGAAGCCCCCCAGCCTGGACCCACTCCACATCCTGCTCAGCTGCCTGCAGGCCCAGCTGTCCCATGAGGGGGGGCCCCAGCCCATGGCGCCGCCTCCCATGCAGCAGCGCTGAATCCCACCGCTGCCACCAATAAAGCACCTGCCCAGGCCCTATGTCTCTGCCGTGTGGGGGGGGGGGGGGCGGACGA